CCTTTACACCGGCGATCGATTTCCCAAGGGAGGTCATAGACTCGATTTTTCCTTTATGATATAAGAATCGGCGCAACTGCGGATAATAAAGTTTCCCAACTTTGATTTTCAGCACGACGAAGCGTATTATATCCCTCGGCGAACCTGAAATATTTCCCATTTTATTCGCTACCCACTTAACTGGGTACTAATAAACAATTCGCTTCATTCTCATCTTCAAAATATTTTTGATAGAGATTAAATTTTATACGCGAAGAAATCGTTGATTACAATCCCAACAAATTGTTTCCATCGACTCTTAACGTTAAGAGGTTCTCGATGTCATTGCCAAAAACACCGTTCCGTTTAGTCTCTCTAAAACTCTGAAATTCGTCACGATACCCTCATTCTCTCATTTTCGAGGGGACATCACAAGTGAGTACCCGTTGTTTGTCGTGGTTTAATTGAATTGAACTAGAGCTCGCACGATGGGATTAATTTGAGTATATGCAAATTGGGTGGGTGTAGTAGCCTCGTCATAGTCTATGTAATTTACGCAGTTAAGGTGTGTCTTGGCTTCACTCCAAACTATAAGTGATTTTCTAATTACACTAACCATGTGGATAACAAAATTAAATTTGTATGTAATTTTATTTTAACTATATAAAATACTATATAAAAGCTTTGGGGAGTAACTTTAGCACTATCACTAGAACTGACACTAGAACTAGAAACATTCGGGTCCATCCTTGACCAGCTCAATGGGGATGTTTCCATACCTGGTAGACTATCCATTCATTGAGAGAGACAATGGATTTATTTTAGACAATTAAAAGCAATATATAACATAAACAACAACATAATTTACATTCTATATTAAGTCTAAAAAGGGCTATTGACCAAAGTCCATCCACCCCATCTCAATAATTAAAATATTTTCAGCCACATATTGTTATCCTGTCACAATCCTTTTGTAAATGGTGTCGAATTCTAATTGTATAAATAGGGGTGACATTTCTTCAGCCATCTTGCTCTGAGATTTGTTTGCTAAAATTAGAAGTCGCTCCGTGAAAAGCTTTATTTCTGTTTTTTCATATAGTGTTTTATTTGCGATGTTGTGCAATGGATTGTTCGGGTGTCTCATTTTTGTTACTGCTCGAAGACTTGTTCTGTCGCCAATTTCCAAATTCCTTAGTGTGCATCACTTACTATCATAGGTCAATAAGCTTGCATACTCTAAAATTGGGCTACAAATAGTCTTATAAATATGCGCAGCGCATTTGATGTTGCTGCCTTCTTTCTTGTAAGTTAAACTTCTAAACAGCTTTGCTTTGGTGAATGTTTTCATTTTAGTCTTTTTTAATTAAATTTACGGTTTCCTGTAAATTATAAGTAAAAATTAAAAAGCATATTTCTGACATTTGAAGCAAATACATTTTTGTTGAAATATTTAATTTATATTTGTTTTACACAAAAGTTGGAATAGATTGCATTGTTTCACATTTTTTATTAATATTTAATATTATTATTAAATGATTTAATAAATTATTGATAGATGGCGCTCATATATATTTTAAAGTCCCTAGACTCTCTATGGTCCCCACTCTGATTGAGGAAAATTGTTCGTGAGGAAGTCGGACTGTATTAAAATAAAAAATAACTCTTACTTCAATAACAACTCAGTCAGCTAAAATTACAATCAATAAATCCATGTTTTACTGTGTAGGATGTATTCATATCACCCCGATGTTGCAAAGTACCTTTCGAAATAAATTAAATTCCGTTACGGGCGTAATATTTTAGATAAACATCCCCTTTGATGGCTCAAGTTTCGTACTGGTATATATGGGAGGACGAAAAGGGGATTTTTGCTCTAATTTCGTACCATCCGTCGTCGTAGAGGCGAACGCCAATTTTAATTTGAGCTTCTCTATGCGGACCCTTTTATAAACTGTTTCCTCTCGGAAGTGGGTGGTTATTAGGTTTTCGATTGCACGCGAGGTTTTAAATCGAGACCTTTTATACAGATTGCCTAGATTACGCACTTAACTGTATTAATTGAAAATATTAAAACTTTTCTAACTGAGAATTTTAAAAGGTTTTTTGTCGTGAGTGTTCAAATAATTATGAATAGAGAAATCCTTATTAATTTGTTTCTAGTTCTAGTGTTAATTCTAGTTTTAGTATCACTTTTATTCAGTATCAGAGTCTTCAGTCTTCAATTGGAAACATTGAAATGAAAAGATAATATTTTGATGTTATTAAAAAGCAGCAGACAACAAAAAACAAAAAAAACTACAAAAAAAAAATTTTACCCGCCCAGCCACCTACAGGAAGATCAAGAAGGACCCCACAGACAAAATCGTAAGGAAAATGAAGGAACTGATAAAATCCACAGGAATTCCAGCAGAACATTAGAAAGGTTTGTTTGTGCAGGCGCCGGTACCACCAAGAATCTACGGACTACCGAAGATTCACAAACCAGAGGTACCCCTCCGCCCTATCGTCAGCGCCATCAACTCCCCAACATACCAGCTGGCCAAACATCTTGCAAAGATTCTGTCTCCCTTTACAGGTAACACGGAATCGTATGTCAGGGATTCTACACATTTTGTGGAATCGGTAAAAGGTGTAAAGCTGGATGCTGGTGATATGTTGGTAAGTTTCGATGTGGAATCCCTTTTTACTACCAGTTAAGGATGCTGTAGAGGGTGTTCGCCGAAAACTCATTCCGGAGGGTTTACCAGAATACGTGCCAGATCTGGTGGAGTATTGCTTATCGTCGACGTATTTCAGCTGGAAAGGAGAATTTTACGAGCAGTTCGAAGGGGCAGCTATGGGATCTCCACTTTCGCCAGTTATAGCTAATTTCTACATGGAATTATTCGAAGAGGACGCTTTGAAGAAGAGCCAGTGGAAACCAAAACTATGACTCCGATATGTGGATGACACGTTTGTGATATGGCAACATGGTCAAAAACGGCTCCAAGAGTTCTTGGATCACTTGAACTCTCAACGTCCTATGATTAAGTTCACCATGGAAACAGAAACTGCCAAAAAACTACCTTTCCTAGATGTGTTGGTCACCAGGACGACAAATGGAGATATAGAACTTGGTGTATACCGAAAGAAGACCCATACCAACAGGTATTTACAGGCATGTTCACATCATCATCCCCAACAGAAGAGGTCCGTGATCCGTACATTATTTCAACGAGCAGCGAGACTATATGAAGGAGAGAACTTGAAGAAGGAGCAACACTTTCTACGAGGCGTGCTGCAGAAGAATGGATACACTTC